CCTATATGATTATATAATCTTATATATCAAACTGATAATATGTATTACTGGGAAGTTGATGGCTGATATATTTCTTCTTTCACAAAGAAATAATGAAGTTGCTTTTCACTAGAAAAACTGACAAAACATTTGGCCTGAGAAGCCATTCAGAGGTTGGTGTTTACAGCCACAACAATTTCATTGGGGTCTGGGATCCTAATGAGTGGGGCTTCACAGAGGTAATGCATGAACTGCGTGCATAGGTCATGGTTCCAGCGGTAGTTGATGACTGGAGACAGGAAGAGGCAGTGCCATCGGGATGACCTGGGGAACTGTGGGGTCAGGAATCCCGAGTAGGACATGTCAGAAGCTGAGGAGCCCCATGTCCACTGACGGCGAGACCAGTTGTAGATGCCACCAACCCATCTGTTCAGGGGTGCTGGGAGCAAGAAAGGAAAACATTGAAGTATTTTGAATCATACCTGTATAGTATTTCTTTTGAATATTATAGTGTATGTATTTTTAGGTTTTGCAAGCATAATAGAAATGAGTGTTTACAGAGAATCAAACTTACCAAACTGTGGTTTGTTCATGTAGTTCCTTAGGGTTTGGTCCTCCCACAGAGTCTCAAGGGCAGCAAGCTGGCTGTTGAGAGCACGACAGGCAAAGTGTGCGCTGTGCCAGCTATTCATGTCAGTACTGAAGTAATAACAACTGTTTCCCAATCGGATGAAGTTTGGTGGACAGTGGTATTGTGGCTGGTATGCATCCTGACTCTGGCATTTTCCAGCTGTAAGAGTGAAAAAGTATTGTTAATCTTGCTATATGGTAATCTCTACTTTGTGTTTGACGAATGAACCCATTGGATCTGGGTAATGGGGTCATCTCATCATGAAAAAATTTGGTTGAAGTGTGGATGATGTGGACATGTTTGGCATGGGGCAGATGGTAAATGTCTCATCATGGGATATTGTTGCTGAGTAGTAGGTGAGGGGGCATCTCATCACATATTGTTGCTGAGTAGTAGGTGAGGGGGCATCTCATCACGTGTTCAAAGCATGTGGAGGGAGATAGACTTTGCATGCCATCTCCAGGGAGGACAATATGTCAACGTGCTGGAGTCCATTCTACCTGCTGTTACTGGCAATGTAGGGTATGTTATAAATTAGATAATATGAAAATAGAATCATAAGAACAAATAACACAATGTTAATTATTGTTATTGTTATTGAACAGTGTAAACTACCTGGAAAGATAATATGGAGTATGTTCAGTGAAAACAGTATATAACTATCTTGATACAGGAAACTAACAAATGACAAATATAGATCTCAGTTATTGGCAAAATAATCAAAATGTACCTGTAGAAAAAAGGTGAATTACATTGCAAAAAGGAGGCAGGGAATCTTGATTCCATACTTGGGTGTTTATGTGGGCTGTGCCCACAAGCCACAACCCCGACAAGGTCATCATTCTCAATTAAGCCCAATGCCTGGATTTTGGTCTATGCATGAACCACAAGGCACCTGGTTCCATTGGGTTAAGAAATGTTTCCCTCATTTGTATGGTAGGGACCTCTTACCTCCAAGAGTCAGTCACAGTAAGGGCACTGAACTAATTGAGGCTAGTGCTATATATATATTTTGCATACATTTCCAGTTAAATAGAAGGAATGTGATATGTATATTCTGGTCTTCAGCTGAAGAGCAATAGAAGAATGGAGTGCTTCCCATGCAGACCCAGTCTGAGGTCAAAGCAAAAGATCAAGAATGTATTCCCACTGGAGGATTTTTTTATCTATCTACTCTGGTACATTTCTGTGACACTTTCAAATGCAGATTTTGTTGTTTGTTTTGTTTCATGAAGCAAGGAAAATGTTAATGCTTTAAATTCAGTTATTTCACAATTGTACCAAGTACATTTATAAAAATGACAGAATTTATCTTGGTTATAAAATTTTACTAATGGAGTTTGATTTGCAAGATTTATTTTTTATTCTTTTTTGTATTTAAATGCAAGATAGTGCTTCTCTCAATAGCAGTTTCATTTTAATTTCATAGTGTATTTCAATCCAAAATGAAATATAATATTTCTGCATTAAAAAAAAGCAAAGGGAAAGAACAGAAAGGGAAAACATAAAAAGGAATTGTGATTACCTGATGCAACAAACAGGACCAAGATCAGCAGATATCCAGAACTTCCATTCATGATGCCTCCCACGTGTAGTAGTTTGTAAGTGAAAGAAAAAGATGATAGCAAGAGATCAGAGGATGTGGAGCGTACCCAGGCGGTTGCCACTTACTCACAGGAGGGTAAATTTTTTTGCTCCTTGGGTGCTGGGTATTCTTGGAGTTCTATTTTTACAGTTGACAACATGGTTTTGACATTAAGTGCCCACACAGCTGTGGTGATGGCTCATCCTAAGAGGAGAGAGAGGCATAGGATGAGATCAGGACTGCATGAACTATGATTTTGTCAACTTGTGTGTTATCTATCTCTCTGATGTCCTTCAGATCATGGGATATCTTTAGGTGTTTACTCTAAGAGATAAGGCTGACTTTGGGATTTTATTTGTGTCATTTAGATTAAATTCTTTCTTTTTTTGCTTAATAGTTGGGCAAGGTATTTCAAGTAGTTTTTTCCTCATTGATTAGTATATGTTTTTAGTGTGGGGGGGGGTTGTATGTTTGTGTGTGTATGTGTGTGGTGTGTGTGTGTGTGTGTGTGTGTGTGTGTGTGTGTGTGTGTGTGTGTGTGTGTGTGTGTGTGTGTGTGTGTGTGTGTGTGTGTGTGTGTGTGTGTGTGTGTGTGTGGTGTGTGTGTGTGTGTGTGTGTGTGTGTGTGTGTGTGTGTGTACACGCACATGTATGTATGTTTGTAAGAGTTTGTGTTTACTAATGTAATTATGCATTTGTTTGTGTGTCTCGTTGTTTGTTTATATGCATGGGCGTAAATTTGTTTGTTCATTTGGGTGTGGTTTTTGTGTGCGTTTATGCACATTTGAGTATGTTTGTATGTGTGTGTGTACTGATTTGTTTATGTGTATGTTTGTTGGT